ATATTAAGTAAACAAACCAAACGGGTATTACAAAATGTATAGGATTACTTATTACGAAATAAAAGATGATTATGCTAGTCCATTAAGAATAATATTAAAAATCGTAACATCTTTTATGCGACTATCTACTAGAGCTATAAAAAAAACCACTTCGGGTTATTTAAATCGTCATTAATGAAACGGGGGCGGACATGTTTCCCAAGCACCGAAAGAGGCTGTGGATTTGTATTTAATGTGAATTATTTAATAAGCATAGTTGTAACCGGTGTCGTTAACCGCATATTATCTCTCACTCGTTAGATAAGAGTATTTTTTTTTTAATTACCTAAAAGAAAAACATTTAAACAGTGGACGTTCGTTAGTCGTTACACGCGACGTACAAAATAGCAGGGTAAGTATTTTCCCAAAAGAAGTATCATAGACAAAAATCAAGATAATTTAGTTATTGATTATACCTACTCATTACTCTATTCCAAAAGCAACATTGTTTTAGTTTCTGCACTAAAGAGTCTCTTTTGGGAAAGGTATAATTGACCCCAAATAAAAGTATTCTTATATTTATAAATTAATTTGTATAATATATCAATCTGTTATCATAATAAATAGAGTTCTCTAAAAAAAAGTATGGATTAAAGTTGTTTGAAATTCTAATTTTTAGTTTAAATTTTTTTCAATTTTGAAGATCTAAAACAACAAAAAAAAAACAAAGCTTTGTAATGACAATAATGTGTTCACAATTATATTTTTAGTATTAGGGTGAACACGAATAGGCCATTAAGGGTGATCATCTATCTATAATAATTTAGAGGTGACATTTTTTAGTTTTTAGTCCAATAAAGTATCTTTTAGGTACAATTTCTACAGACTTGCTACTTAAAGAAATCCAATCAGCATTTTGAAAGATATCGAAAGTCAAGTAAAAACAATTCTTTTTAAATTCTAAGCTCCGAAGCTAAAATAAGTACTAACTAATAAAACTTGACTAATAACATAATTATAATAATAACAAAACTTAATTATATATAATAAGTATATAGGTACGTATAAAAAGTATAATAAAGTTCTGTGATCTACTTACAATTTTAGCACCCCCCTAAATTTTACCTTTAATTGCGTAAATTCCTAAACAATTTAAAATATTTAAAACAACCATAATAATTATTTAGTAATGTCCTTACAAAACGCTGGTTAGTGTATTTGTATTTGTCATAGTCATAACATAGTCCGTAGTGGTATCAAATTATGTATAGTTCCGTGAATTGTTTATTGTAGTGCATAAGTATGAAAAATGCATTAATCAAACAAAGCAAATTATCGTTGCTATTGTTCGTTGTATCGTGGTAGCCATTCTTTACACTGCTTTTGATATGATGTCGATGAAGGCATGCAGCTACATGATATAGGCATTTAATTTAATTTATTTAGCTGAAGTTTAATGCTTCCACTTAACGATATTATTAACGTTGTATTTGTTTGTGATTTTTAAAAATAATTTATCTTATAAGTTTATTTTTCATAAGCACTTTCTGTTGGACGTGGACCACGATACCTGGCCGTACAAATTAATCATAATCATGCATAATAGAGTATGTACATATTATACTCTTAAAAATATTCAATGGACTATAGATAGTACAATAATTACTTTAATTTTTCCAAATAATCATATTTTCTTCTTGTAAATATATTATTTCTCTTTTTGTTGTAACTTAATTATAATATCATTCACAAAATATCAATAACAAATTATTTTGTAATTGGTAAAATAAATCAAATGAAGCTGTAAATGTTTTGGATATTAATAGACATCCCGTCAAAATTCGCAAGTCGTATAAAGAAATATTACAGAAGACGAAAAAAAATAAATGTTTGTTTACAAAATGAAACTTTATCTATTTGTAATTTCTAAAATTTACCAATATTACTTGTCAACAATTATTGTGACCTTTCTAGTAGTATATTATAATAATGCAACTATTCATAGTGTAACTATATAACCATTGTTAAACAGAACACCTAATATATTTTATTTTGTTACTAGGTACTGTGTGTAATATGTATTGTAGAATAACAATAGTATGATATTGGTATTTATAGTACTACAGGCCAGTGTTACTCATGTGCTTGATGTGTTTAGATATTAATAGCCAACAAACATACATAATATGTGTATATTTTGTGAAGCTATATAACATGAAAATTAAAAAGTAATATCTTCTTTTGTATAGTAATAATTTTTATTAAGCCATAATATTTATAAATCTGACGAATAGAAAGTGCATCATTAAAAATAATGACTTTCTGACTAATTAAGTAAAAAATTAATATTAAAGTTGCGAGACCATAAATTGTAATTCATATTTTATCGAAGTATTCATACATGTAACATAAAGCATAAGTCATCACTTTCGATTTTAAGTATAAACTTACGATTAATTCTAAAAAAAACATGTAATACAAGTGGATAAAACAATTAACTTATACGGGCGGCTAATTGCAATACAGGATTTATGCATCGATAAGCATATAGGTGAGTCGAATAAATTACCAGGTCAAAATAAAGAAAAAATTTGAATTGAAATCTTATAATGCATACGAATGAGCGCTTTACGAATATTCATAAATTATACAAATTATATTAAGTAGATGTTCTATAGCTTTTTTTTTCTAAAATATAAATGAATTTTACTTAAATGTAACTGGTGCAAAGTTGAGAAGTGGTAGTTTTACAATATTGTGATATTTTTATCTCTGTAACCATTGCACTGAATTTTTGATCAGTTACACATTCAATTATATATATTTATATTCGAAAGATATTGTATTAAAGGGAATTGAATAAAAAGTTCTTTTGCAACGAACAACTTAAAAACTAGTTCCTCCCTCATCAAAAGATAGGAAATGTATAATACATTTCGATTTTAAGATTATTGTTTAGTAGATGCATATTTAGTGAGTGTGAGGATCTGTTTAGCTTTTGACGTGTATTCGTTTCTTTTGCCTTTCCAAGTACTCGTACGTATCCAACACTATCTAATTGGATTAATTCGCTTTCGTTGCCTTAGCAAACAAGTTCTAGCATTTTGCACCGATCAAAGATACCGAATAGACTAGGTACTTGTATTGTTGTTTTAGAGTGAAGCCCTCAATGTAGAGGAAGTATATCGAACAATTCGAGTAAACTTTTGTTCGACGAACTACCATACAGTTTTTAATGTTTTATTTTGTGTTGCACTTTTATTGAGTAGTAACGCTGATCAAAAACCATAATTGTTTTATTAAACACTTACAAAAAACAATTATTTTACACACTAAGGATTTAGGATACGTTAACACTACGAAACATATTAACTTTGAATTAGATCTTTCAACATTATATCTACAACATAAAAAAAAACAAAAATAACTTACATTTTTTTTTATTATGATTAAATCGAAAAAACTGATATAAATACTATTTAAATGTAGATTTTGAAGGCTATATTGGGCTAACAAACTTGAAGTTTAGTATACGGGTAAGTCCTATTATATAAATACTGTAAGTATATTATATTTATAATACTTATATAAATATATACCAAAATATAAAAAAAATTAGACCCGTTTTTGAACTTATGTAAAGTTACTCCTTTTAGAAACATAGAAAGCTGATACCAAACTTAAACCAGCCACCCCAAAAAACATATAATTTGACCTATTTGAACTTTTTTATACTATTTTTAGGTAAAATTTGGAATTGTTAAATAATTATTTGTTTGTGCCTGAAGCACATAAATCGATTCGAAAAAACTTCTCAACATGAATCTGTAGATACTGGTCGCCACTTTTGTATTTTTTTTTCTATGCTGGTTTAAAGTTTAAACTGTGCTAGATTTTTACTATTTGCAGATCCACATCGATGCGTTTGATTGTGTGATGACATCACTTCAGTTTCAATAATTGCTTTGCCTCAACATTGCTAACTTCTTCTATACTGCTTTATACTGCACTTAATTTGGACAATGCTGTACTTTTTTTTAATTTCTCGTACTGATTTGATAATTCATTATTTGAAAATGTACAAGCATTTACCTAAAAAAAATACATTCATCACCGACATTTTATCGAAAATTTAACAGATTTACTTAACTTTTTATAAAATCAATATTTTAATATCTTTATAATTAAAAGTTACAAACTTTCGGTAAAACCTGGTGTACACATTTTATCATAAAAGCAAATATGGTAATATTGTTCTTTTCTCCTGCTAGATTAGTTTACGCTGTTCAGGTCTTACAACATTGCCAGAAGCCCTTAGTTTAAATACTAAAAAAATGGTAAAGACGCTTGCCTAAATCGTGCCCTATGCTTTTAGCAGTTAGTTTTACTTTCGACTTTTCTACCCCTTGATAGCCTTTCAAATTTTCTCCGTGTGGTGTTCAGTAATTATGCTTTTAATGATCATTACCTACGTCTGGCTGCGCCCACGCTCGACGACCGCCTCCGGCAACGGTAACGACGTGGAACTCACAATTTGCTAAGTAAAAGGTCTATCCGACTATGGATAGAAACCGTTAGAGAGAGAGATTAACGGCATCCGTGTATTGTATATTATAAGATCCGCAAAGCCTTGTATAGCGCGTACTACAATACGGAAACTAAGGCCGAACGATCTTCAACAGTAGATCGCAAATTATGATAGTGTCGGATTGCTCAAGTGCAAACCCGATGAACCATATTGTGTACAGAATAAAAGTAGTTATATGATAATTACATTATTAATTATTATATTATTCAAAATTCTTAATACTAGGTTATAGCTCACATTGCAGGTTTATTGTGACAAATAATATGAATTTCTTAATTCTTACTGACTAACTTTATATTAAATTTTAATTTAATTCTATAAATTGGTTACAAATCCAAAATAATCTATTCGAAGCATAGGCTCCTCTGAATAAAATAACAAAAATATAAGTTGTTTTTTAAAAGCAACTAATTCTTACATACCTATTATTTACCGCAAACACACCTAGTGTGTAAGCTAGTTTAGAGTAATTTTACTATTTATATTTTTAAAAAAATGTTTTATATCCACCTAGATATTCTTCCATTGCTGTCGCTTAACTGATACACAATACTGTAAATATTGACCACGTCGTACTCCCAGTAGGACTCCATCGTTTCTCATTGGTGAAAGGTTGGATGATCACAAGGCAATCAGTATACATGTTATTTTGCATATTCTCGTACTATTTTTATAATAGTTACATTAGTTACATAGTTACATATAGTATAGTTATAGTAACATAGTTATCATAGTTACATATAGCACAAATTATTATAATTATATTTACCTAGTTTCAAACTGCTAATAGCTTTAAAATATTATGTCACTTACTGCAATACGGCGAGGCATCTCCTGTGATTAAGAAGTATTTTGTACCGGGATGATAAGAAGGTTTTGTCGTCTTCAAACCCATTATGCTAATTTCTGTTTCGTTACTCGAAAAACAATTACCCTATAAATAAAAACATGCAATATTAGAAAATACTCAATTAAATTTTAATCACAGTTTAACCCATTAACCATTTAATTCCCAATACTTACATTTTTAGACACATTTATAGAGTAAACAATACTGTGTGTATGTAAATATTTGTCTTAAATGGTTATTTTATAATACACATAAAAATCTATTGAGTGCAATAATAATAGTGTAACAATTACAGCTATGCTTAAGGTTATTTTGATTTACTTTTAGGAATTGTCCATATGAATCGCATTTGTTTGCAACGAACAAGCATTTTGAGTTTATAGATTCAGTGTATAGGTCTAGGACTCTCATGTGGTCACACCTTGCTTCACTATTTTGTTCATCAAGATCAATCTTAAAAGGATTACAGCCCGGTTGCTTTGTACCGCCATTCGGATAAAAGTCAACGTGGCCACACGGCATTTTTATACCAAATCCTATTAACGATAACAAAATGATAACTATTCAAAATAATATTAATACTTTACTGTACATAGACATACAGTATATAGACTATGAAAAAATCAAAACTTTTATATATGTATGAAATTTATTATAATAATATAACAAAAAGGCGGTCTACACGACAATGTCACCACATATATACATATACTTCACACGTATAAACTTACCAAAATATGTACTTGGTGCACCCGTGTGTATGACGTTTACCAATTGTGCATCCGTATGATCAAGCCTGTGTTTAGAATGCGCTCCTTTGAACTTAGGTTCGGCCGGGTCAAGCCCTGTAATGCGGCCTAGCCCTTTGAGGTGTTTACCAGCATAACCGGCTGTATGTGCTCCTAAACTGTGTCCTATCAGATGGACATTTTCCTGATCTAATCCCACGAGGCCCTGACATGCAGTAAATCCAAATCAAAAATAATAATTTTAAAACTTATGTTAGTTGTATAAATTAAGACTATAACGTGCACTTGCGTCCGTGTCAACTTGATATAATTAAAAAATATACATCGATTTTTAATATTACCCCTAAATAGTTGATTAAATTGGCGATTTCCTGTCCTACTTTTCTGATTCTTAGTGTCGCTGTAAAGTAAAACGTTCGACTGCGCCATTGTACTAAAATGACATTCGAGTCGGAATTATTTAACAGTTAATTTTTCATCGTCTGTACAGAAAAAATGTAAAGAATTTAATTGAAAGACTAAATATAAAAAGTAATTTGCGTCACCATCATCCATGTGGCATCTGTCTCGGAAATGTAACCGTGAATGATGAACTTTGTAGGTTTTTTTTGGTCAAAATTTCAGTTTCTTATTGTATCACTAGAGTTAACTTTCAGTACCTGACCCTGGAAACAAAAGGGGAGAAACTGCTACTTACTAATTGTAATCAACAAAAATCAGATACTTTATTCGGTGGATTTTTTATATCTATCATGATTACTAAATATTATCTACACATTTTTATGATTTAAATTGGTCTTTAAATAACATTCTTCTGTCATTAAATTTGAATATGAAAAACGATGTAGATAACATAACTTCAACGTATAAACATAAGCATTTAAATAGTATTAGTAGCATCCATGTTAAAAATTCAGGACGGGAGAAAGGGTGGAGTCTGTTGTTTTGGACCTAAATCAGAAGTCACTGACATCAAATTCGGAGATCATCGCTTGGTTGGAACGACGGTTTGTACCTAAAACTTATGAGTAACGGCTAAAAAGATTTGTAAAATTATACCTTTTCTAAATTTTTTCTAGAATAAAGGGTAAAATGTTTTATTGGGTCATGTTTCATAGGTTGGTAAAGTTTGAAGTCCAAGCATCCAAATTCGCCAAAACATTCTGTAAAAAAAAACAATTATTATTTGTTTTATTTAAACGACAAGTAGTGATTGAAATTCATATATTATAATTTCTCATATCAATTATGATGATTACCGCTCGACTACATCATAAGTTTAAATCATCGCATACAATTAAGGATCGATAGTCATGCTACTCGTTCTCGAGCAAATATATTCAGGAGAAAAACAATTTTCAGACACAAAAAAAAGAGAAAAAACACTTTCTGTTGTTCCTAACGTAATGTCGACGTAGTCTTAATTGTATTAACATTAATGTACTACTAACCTGTTACAGTCTCCTGGCTATGCACGGCAGCTACTTGAGTTAAACGCGATATTAAACATAGCAATACAATGCAAAAAATAAACATTATTTTATGAAAACCAAACATCGTGTTGTATACAGCTAGTAAGATTTGTGCTAAGTATAAAGTAGTAGTATATAAGAGTATTAAATATTAACACATTTATTCCTGGTTCATCCAGAGCAGCAATTTTTTGTGCACGTTTTTATCTCTACGATTTTCCTCTAATCGTTATAGATTTGGCTGGTAGTTTAGTAAAATTGTTACTTGATAAACACAATAATAGTAGCATGGTTTTTGTTTAACCAATCATAGTCTCATAGAGGATTTAAATTTTTATGTACACTGTACACAAATATTGTTAAACAGTCATAGGTTATAAACCGTATTTTTTTCCTACTTGAGTTACTGGTACTCGAGTTTAAAATTTGTTATTTTTAGTAAAATATAGTGTTCAACTATTTTTGAACTGTATGGGTCGAGTACCTACTACGCATTTCATTTAAGTCGAGTATTTAAGTATATAGATTTGTAAACTGTAAAGAGATCTTAATGAACAACATGGCTCTCGAACAAGACGTTCTACGATTACTTATCTATGTATTTTTATTTTTAAGCAATCAATATTACTCATTTAATGATGGTGCTCAAATGGATGTTGTTTTTACCAACCTAGAAAAAGCTTTCGACAGAGTTAATCATGACCTATTAATATCAAAACTTAGAAGCATATGGTATCTATGATCTACTTTTATCCTGGTTTCTTAACTAATCGAATACAATTTGTTAAATATAATAATTTCATTTCAAAAAATATTTATGCTGTTTCTGGCGTTCCCCAAGGAGTTTATTTATCTTCTCATTATTCTTATTATTTATAACGACGCGCCCGAATAAAACTTATTCGAGAGTTTTTTTAATCGTTAAGTGTTATAATGTACTTTTATAATAATACCATTTACACATATTTAACTACGAACTATTGGAAATAAAACTAAAATCATGTGACGGTATGGCGCCATTTGATTAAAAAACGTTTAACATAATAATTTAGCAACCTCATATAGACCCATTAGTCTACTCCCAGTGCTCGGAAAACTATTCGAAAAAATCGTCCTGAAAAGATTAAGACCAATTATGGAAACACAAAATGTAATACCCAATGCACAATTTGGATTTCGTGCAAAACATTCCACCATACAACAAGTGCACAGGCTAGTCGATGTAATTTCTTCTTCTTTTGAGAACAAAAAGTATTGTCCGGGTGTCTTCCTGGATGTAGCACAAGCTTTTGACAGAGTTTGGCACACCGGATTGTTGTACAAAATCAAATTATTCCTCCCTGCTCCTCTTTATTTACTAATTCGATCATACCTTGAAAATCGTACATTTAAAGTTCGTCATGGTAATGCCTTTTCCTCCCTCTTTCCTAAATTAGCTGGAGTTCCTCAGGGAAGTGATCTTTCGCCTGACCTCTACAACATATTCACTTCCGACATCCCTCACACCCAAAACACTATTCTAGCCACCTACGCCGATGACACAGCTATTCTATCCTCCAATAGAGACCCCACAGAAGCATTTAATGCTTTTCAACAACACCTCGATCAAATTGGAAAATGGTCCTCAAACTGGAAAATTAAAATTAATGCAGAAAAATCTGTACATGTTTCTTTTACACTCAACAAAACAAATACGCCTATTCTCACCCTCCAAGAAGTTCCTATCCCCTCCTTGTCTCAAGTCAAATATCTAGGTATTATTTTAGATAAAAGACTAACCTGGGCCCCCCACCTAAAATCAAAAAGGAAGTCTCTAAATACTCGTTCGCACTTACTACATCCTATACTGAAATCCAAACTCCCGCTTCATAACAACATTCTTATTTATAAGTTAATGTTAAGACCAATTTGGTCATACGGAGCTCAAATATGGGGTTGTGCTAAACCATCCCAACTAAAAAGAATAGAAGCTTTCCAATTAATTTCCCTCCGTACAATCACGTCCGCTCCATGGTATGTTTCCAACCTCATCCTTCACAATGACTTACACATTGAATCAGTTGAAAATTTAGTTAAGACTCATTATAAAAAATTCCACTACAGATTACTCCTTCACTCGAATCCATTAATAGCAAGCCAGCACACAGCTACTATCCCGGACAACCCCCCTCGTCATCTTAAAAGACGTTGGTGTCGAGACCTCCTAAATTGTAATGCTACCGTTTAATTTCCAGCCGAAACATGTCATAGGGTCCTATCGCTGGATAGTTTCCCTACCCAAAATCGTCAAGTCACATATTAACATTGTTAACATATTTGCTTATTGTATACTTTTTTTTATGTACAGATTGTAAATGTTTTAAAAAAAAAATAAATAAAAAACACAACAATTTTAATTTTGTATAAAATAACTTAAAGTGATTACCACAAAAATAACACGATTCCTTAGTTAACAACAATCATTTACATCGACTGGAATTTATCAGTAAGTTTCCACTGGAAAGTTATATGTACCTATTTGTTCGCTAATCACTCCCTACACCTCTCAACAATAAAAGAAGCAACTTTCAAAATGTATAATTTTATAATTATTTAAAATACTGTTGAATGGAATGAATATAAATAACATTTACCCAGAATTGTATACCGGAAATTTTTATAGATTTAAATTTGTATTAAGCTTAAGATTACTTGGTGATCAAATTCGATCAAATGTGAACCGAAACGTTTAGTAATATCAATGTGATGATATGCAGTTATTAGGAGCCAGAGGAAATTCCACTGAGTTAGGTCAGATCCAATTAATTTTTTTTTTTTATGGGATTAAAACTGAAGGATTTTAAGGAGTTTTATAAAAGCAATATTTAAGGAAAATCGGTTAAAAAAAAGGAAGAAAAATAATGAAAAAAAATCATGCATGAAGGTATTATTTTTAACTTTTTGTTGGTATTTTAGATCTAAAAGTCTGACAAAATTTCGCCTACTTAGGATAGTCCGATTTTAATTCTGTACAAAAATTTTAATTCTTTGACTTATTTACTAGATTATGTGGGAAACCGATTTTTATTAAACAATTAAGTTTCTTATAATTAAATAAATCAAATTTTCAAAAATAAAAAACAATTTTTTACACATGAAATAAAACAAAAAATCCGTTTCCTACATGACGTAGTAAAGTAGTCAAAGAACTAGAATTTTTTTACAGTATTACAATTGGACCATCAAGGGTAGTTGAAATTTAGTCACGCTTTTTTATCTAAACGCCAAAAAACAGACTGCTTTCAATCCCCTAATAAGTACTAATTTAGTAATTCAATTATCTCTAGGGTATAGGTTGTATTCTGTGGACTGTTCACCATGGTATAACTCAAGGATATATTAACAGTTGGTAGTTATTTTTGTAATTTCTTTATGGAAGTCGAATTAAAAATGAAAATGAAATAGCTGCGCTACAATAACCAGAGAGTGGGAATTATAGTCATAATAGCGTTATATATTACATTATTGAATATAAATAATCCGTTATTAAATACAATATTTTTGGAAAACACACGCATGTATGTTTGCATATTAGGATTGCCCTTATGTATTTTTTTTAGCCAACGCCCCCAGAAAGTCTTCAAATGTGAAAAAAAATGCCTTTTTAAATTTTTATCTTCGTCTCTCTATTTCAACGAGAAGCCTTTATTTAAGGCTTTGCCGCGGTCGGCATAAAATACTTATTGAATGGATTATCATATGGTAGCCATGTGTTTTTAGGACAACTTTTTAGTTGATGAGATAATCTAAAATTCGTTAACATTTGACTATAGATTTTCAAACGAGAAATATTTTTAAATATTGTTGAAATTCGGTTGTCGATCCGCTCGAAAGATTTCGACAATTTAAAAAAGGACCACCCTAATGTATGATATTACAAATTGCACGCCTTCAAGAAGCTGTCGTGAGCAATTAAATATTGCGTTAGATCGTATATATAGGTATATTTTAATATTATATTGTATTGTTACTGTCGTTATTATTATTATATTTTTATTGTTGTTGTTACTATGTATATTATAATATATTTATACCTATACATATTATAATGAACGCACAAAACGCCTATAGAAACCCGTAATGCATAAATGTTATACGATATTATAGAACTTATCTGCCGTGCATCGTGAAATGCGATTACCATCGGTTCCGTCGTTGCCGTGCATGCCAAGCACGTTCCTGGTCCGCCAATAGGTGAGCACATTCATCATAATACCCAAGCTAGGACGTAGTAGGTAATATAATTTATAATATATATATATATATATATATATATACTAATTACTATCCAGGGTACATTGCATAGATGATGGAAAAGTATAACACAATCAGCTGCGTCCGTCGCGGGTCGTGGGTCTTGGATGGATGCATGTAACGAAACCGAACCAGCCCCCGGGGCCGGCTATTTCCGTTCTCGTTTACAATGTTATTTGCATACAATGGAGTTAAGTGTGTGTGTGTGTATTACATATTATTATTTTCATAATAATTTCGTTTAAATAGACTCTTGCAAATATACAAATATACCACTACACGGTACACACAATGCATTATAATAATAATAAAATGTAATAGTATTATAATATAATATTATACGAGAAGCGAGTGGGATATACTACGTGTTTCAATCATAATGTACGTGATGTTAATATCGAACGCTTAGTTGCAAACAATAACAACAACAATACCATATTGTATATTATTGTTATTGTTGTGCTTGTTAAGCGTCCGACAGCAGCTGCCCGCAGGGATCTCTTAGGTTTTGCATGGACGAGCGATTATTAATATGGTCCATCTCGATGGTATGATCATATGGATTATGGATGATAAAGGGGAAATCGATAATTATTGGATAACTGATAGTTGATAAGGAACAGAAAATCATATCCATCGGATTTGTCATTGAAAGCTGTGTCAACACTAGTCGGATATATTCGACTGGCCTCTGTAATTTAAGCAAACAATGAGTAACAGCCATTTTGATTTATTTTAGACCAAAGAGCTAGACAAAATGTCGACTACATATTATGTAGGATGGTTCGATTTCAATTCTGTAGAGAGATTCGAGATCTTTGGCTACTTTACTATATTATGTAGGAAGTTAATTTTTATTTAAAAATAATTTAAATAAACTAGAATGAGTTGTTTTCGACTAAAAAATACACAGATGAGAAGCTCCTTAATAAACAGAACTTTTGTACGTATTTGAAGACCAGAAGGCCGATAAAATCATCAAGTCAAGTGAACTGAATTCTCACCATTAAACACTGAATGAGGTAAAACAAGGGTTCCTTAAAATATAATAACATGTATTAACAGAAGTGAACTTGATTTTTAATAAATTAATTTATATGTATAATTTTATACACATACAGTAAAAAAAATAAATAACAAAATGAAATTAGACTTTCAAGTATTTTCAATATGTACTTAAAATCTAAGAAAATTCTTTACATTTTGTAAAAAATAAAAATAAAAACTGTAGTAGTTTTTTTTACATCATAAAGTTCAAAAACATAAAAAATTGATTCAATTATAATCATAATAATAAAAAAATGTATGTTTAATATTTGTCGTGACAAAAAAAAAAATGTATAATAAATAAAAATTAAATAATGCTGATCGTAGAAAACTACAAATACTGTTCAAGAACATACAATAAACTTAGTGATTTACAATGGGTCCGAATTGTAAATTTTTTATTTTCTATATTTAAATGAGTCATTTTTTTACAATGTACATAATATAAATTATAACATATGGCCATATTCCATTTGACACTGTAGTATCGTACTATTAAAATAAAACAACTGGTAACATTTCTATTTATATGTTTTGACAGCATAATAACAATTTAAAAACACCAATTAAAATATTAACTTTTTTTCTTCAAAATTAGTAATAAAAATAATATAATTAACGAGATTATCTGTGCATGGATCCGTTCAGGGGTTGCAGATATGAACCGTTATATGCTGACGATGGATACATAGTATTTTGATGGTGAGGGTCTTGCGAGTATTGTAACTGGCCTGTCGATTGATTCATGTAGCCAGCTGCCGCTGGGGGAGGGGTAGACTGTGGCGCCACTCTGTATCCATTGAAAGGCGGTGGTCCGCCATACTGCATTGGTGGCATAAGACCCATGTTGGGCGAAGCCGAGGGTACACGCGATTGGTGGCCATACTGAAGAGACTGGCCAGTTTGACCAGCTTGCTGGTAAAGTTTATGATAAACTGCCGTTTGCTGTAGCAAGTGGGCTGCAGTAGCAGATGCTGCAGGGGATGGCGGAGGAGGCGTCATGTTGGCGGGAGACGACACCGGAGATGGCGCAGGAGAAGACATATGCCTGCGATGATGGTCTAATCCATTAGTCATTTGTTGTAATTTGGATAGGTTACACGATGCTATTTGTGCAGCTGTGGCAGCTGCATGCTGATTAGAGTGAGATAGATAGAAATCTGGAGTCGTGCAGGATCCGCCTTGTTGACCCATTCGATGAGGGATTACAGGATGATGGTAAGGATTAGTAGACGTTGACTGTGGCATCATGTATGAAGCTGTTTGATGATGATGATGATGGTATGACTGAGTATGACTAGGCAATGATGGAGCTGGCTGTTGTGAAGACGGCGGCAGTACAGATGGTTGATTCTGTTGAGCCGCTCTTCTCTGTTCGCTCTTTTTACTTCTAGATTTAGTCTGATGAACGGGTGACGGCGCTGGCCCTTGGGTAGGGGGCATGGTTGGAGTGTGATGATACTGAGTAGAATGAGCCAAATGATGGTGTAGAGATAAATGCATCATGGATTGATCAGAGTATGGCGATTGCTGCATGACAGATGAATACAAAAGGCTGTTGTCTATTGGCGGTTTAGATAAATTCATCATATCTTTATCCTTAGGCAGATTTACATTAACAGAATCAGTTTTTTTGTCAGAGTAAACGACTTCTTTTGATTTTGGAATGTTTGACATATCTGTATGTGACATGGGCATAGAGTTATTAATTTTTTGGAAGTTGAGAAACCCCATTGGAGGTAGATAATCATGTAAACGTGGTTTTTCCCCTTGAGGGACATCCGTAGGCATTCGATAAGGTGACATTTTTGGAGAAGGAGTGGTTCTTTTAGATTGTTTCGTTGTTTTACTATTTTCGTACTTAGGAGCGGATACAATCATATCAGGTACAATTGATTGAGAATAATTTTTCTCTGTAACTTTAGGTTTACATTGATCAATACCTTTAAAAGTGTCTTGTACGATGCTGTTGATTGTTGGAGGCATTTGCATACTTTTATTATAGTCATTAGACCCCACTTTGTTGTTGTACAATTGCTTATTCATTTCAGGAGCACAGACATCTAACTTGGGATATTCATTTTCTACAGTCGTATTAAAATGTTTAGCATTCGGTTGTATTCCTTCAGTTTTGCAATAATTATTTGTCAGCAATTCTGCTTCATATTGCTTAACATTTGGCAGTATCGGTTCAGTTGGTTTACAATAGTCATTTGTACTTGTAGAATTACTATATTGTTTCTCTACAGGAGGTGACACAACAGATGACACTACAGGATGTGCAATAACTTCTGCTTTGGGAAACTCATTACACGGAGGAGGCGGTATGTTATCGAATAATCTTACATCGGACTGCAATGAATCATTTTTTTTAAACTTGTCAGTTAAGTCTTTATTGTTAAATTGCTGAGAAGCATTATGAATATTTACATTACCGTAATTATTAGGTAAAGAGGTATTTTGTTTTATACTCGAAGATAATACAACATTATCAGGTAAAGATGGATGGTTTTCGGATTTGGTTACATCAGTGTTCTCGACTGACTTGTCTACATTGCAAGGCGCTATTTCCATTGAAGTGTCTTTTTCATCTACCAGACATTTTTCAGGTAAACTTTCGACACGTTCCTGATTTTCCAACTGTGTTTCTTCAGGCTCTTTTAACACATCGTTAAGAATAACATCAGAAACAGAATCGTCTTTACCAACTTTTGGTTCAGCTAAACTATTTAATTTGTCAGTGTCCATTGGTTTCTCAAAATCAGTATTTTCAATAATATCATCTTTAGGTACTTCAACATCCATAATCGAGTTCATTTCAGAATCTGTCGCAATAGCTACCTCAGGTTGGACAATGGAGTTTCTAGAATTATCAACTTCATCATCAACTTCCATTTTATTTGTTGAAGTATCATAGTCTTGTTTTTCTTCTTCTAAGCTTGTGTCAACTTCCTTGGACTCTCCTATTTTATGTTCAGCATTGTTATGATTTTTATCTTCCATTTTTTCTTTTTCTACGTCTATTACTGGCTCTTTTTCTTTTGTTTTTACTTCTGTATCCTCTATTTCTCCAGTGTGTTTTTTATCTAGTTGATCACTATTAGATGTAACATCATAATCATTTTCAACCTATTCAAAAATAAATAAAAAATAAATTTACTGTACACAATACAACATACAATTGACTTACTAATGGTTCAGGACTTTCGCAGTCTGGATTAACGTGTGGAGATTTTGGATGCTCCTCAACCACTTTTGGCTTTTTAGCTTTTGGGCTGTCTTCTTGTTGAACTTTGGACCTTGGTCTTTTTCGAGATCTACCTCTACCCATTTTTCTTTTTCTTTTAATTGGTAAAGGTGTTCTTGTATCTGTATTTTCAGGTTCCAGGGGAGTTGATGTCAAACTAAAAATAGAAAATTTTCATTAAAAACTAAGTGTAAACTAATAATATGTTGTATTCAGATTAGCTAATTGATGTATTTTATACCTTTGTGTTAAGTTTTCTTTTGACCTCTTAGGAAGTTCTTCATTTATTTCTTCACTGCTCGCTCCTGCGGACAATTCTTCTTTAAGTTCATTAACAGATTGTTCATCTGATACATTTTTCGTCTCTTCATCAACGTCACTAGTTTTTTCTACACATCTGGCAAGTTTTATTTTTTTCTCAAGCATTAATGCATTTCTACGTTTTTTATCAACCTTTTTACGTTTTTTAATCATAGGCAATCTTCTAGAAATACGCTTTTTTTTTATCAACGGACTTTTTACTTCAACTTTTACTGGTAAAGGTGGTGGTTCATCGATGTCTTGTGAAGATTCCTAAAAAAAAAATTATAACTATATTATTATTTATTGTTCCAAATTGTACAAGCCCACAATATACAAACCTTATTATCTGGTGACACTAAGTTATTAGAAGCAGTCATTAGAGGAGTCCACCTTAGACAGTCGGGTTCGATAGGAATATGCTTAGAAGCGTTTTTTCTTTTTATATGAGCATCAACTAATTCCCAATCAACACAAACGATCAATTTTCCATCCTCTTCCACAGCCATGTTAAGCGATTGCAGAGTGTAAGTAATATCATGCCTCATCAAACCTAAATTTCAAATTTAATACTAATATAAAATACAATACAAATCATACTATGATATTTATAAAAACCCAAACCATTTGCCAAACACGAAACTAGGTTAAAATATCTATTAGAATAGCATACAGGGAAGAGTCCACACATAATATGTGTAATATTAAATAAATGTATACTATATTTAAGATTCAAAATAGAATTTTTTTTTAAAATACTTTCAATAGTAATATACATTCAAAACACTCAGAAATTCAAATTAAAGCAAAATTATCCACTTGTATTTATTAAAATGAACCAAGAATATAACAGAAAATGTTTTGAAAGATATAACTGGTGGTAATGATTTGAATTATTCAAACAACCCTAATACATTTTTTCGGGATAAAACTAGAGATACTCCATGAAACACTGTTTATTTGGAGTAATTTAAAGATTGTATAAAATTACATACAATAAGTGTAATAACTTTATAGAGTAAGTTAGTTGTTTTGTAAGACAACTCATTAAGTTCAAATTATTAGAAAAAGTAATTTTTAACTTTTTTTAATATCCAGTTTTAGGTCAAAATTAATGATAGAAATATGTAAATAAACAGTCTACAGTCATTATAATCTATATGAATATTACCTGTTTTTTTGCTAATATCACCAATAGAAATTGATTGGTTGTCCCGATGCTCGTTGAAATACTCTAAAATCACAGCCTTCCAATATGCATGATACGAAACTTGTCCAAGATCAGACAATGGTTTTTCAGGTGTGCCCGGTTGTCCTTCAATTCTTGACAACAAATAACCTAAATACAATAATTGCAATATTATAGTGCTCAATTATATTTTCTCATACTATAATATAATACAATTATTAAATGTATTATATCGTAATTAATGTTAAATGATTATTTGTGTGTATTGCAACTTACTAAATTCTATGAGAAAGCGTCCAAATCCTTGCCTTTGGTACTGGGGCATAGTTAGAATACATGATACATTGTATTTTTGTTGACAATGTTTTTCTTTTGAAAAATAACCAACTAAATGACAACCCTAAAATATTTAAATATACATTAAAACTAAAAAAAGGTTTAATACATTTGTTTTAATTAGCCTTAGTTATTCATTAAATTGTATAAGTACAAAAAAATATGTAGGTCACCAGAGGACATCAATAGAGTGCTCAGTGGATAACCTACTAATTAGTGTTGTTGGGGGATGCTGTGATGTGATAAACGTGTGTGGTGCGATGATTTGTTAATAATTATATCATACGTAGGAACCAGATCCCACATATATACATATATATGTGCTACATAATAGGTAACCACAATTTCAAAAAAGAGATAACTAAAACGATACAAATAATTTGTCCTTAACCTCTTATCAGTGAAGCGGGATAAAAATTTACCCAGTCACATAATATAGTTTGTGTGACTGACATGAAAGCTTACACTTAATTTAAGTGCGACTAGAAACTGCACAACTGATAGAAGTATAAGGCCATTTCACACCTAATGCGTATGGTTTCATATAAACTATAAAGTGTAAGAATTTCAACCAACAAGCCATGTGTGTAGTATGAAAGAACAGCTGAACCGATTTCTTGGATATAGATTTTTCATAATTGATATTGTGGATATCCAGATTTCATAATAGGCTATAAGACATTTTCTAACACATCTCTAAGAAAAACCTACCATTTGTGCAATTAAATAAAAATAATGTAATTAAGCTCAGCTTAATTTATGAATCAAGACGTGAACGTTTTTATTAACACTTAACGCAACTGAGCTAAAATTAAGTATCCCCAAAAACTACACTTAGCTTGGTAATGTTTAATGATTATTAACTATTCAACACAGATCTTTTTCACAGGATGTTCCTTAACTATTATTATATGTATAAATAAATTGTTATTTGACAATTGTTTAAAGTAAGACTTGTAAACAAAAATATTTGCATTTTCTAATTAGCTTTCACATACAAATGTGCATAATATATGAGATACGGAAAGTAAAATCTCTTGTCAGTATTTTCTAAAATTGCGTTAGTGCGATTTTCTGAATCATGATTGTTTTCTAACAATTAAAGACCTCGACACCATTGTAGCTAAAAAAATGACCAAGTTATTGCACTTTGAAGTTTACTAATATTATGGCATTTTTCTAAAAATCAACTTTGCCAACAAGAGGTCCCATTCTGCTTTCCGCTCATATATAACAATATATATATATATAATATATTATGTACTTACATAGGCATCATTTTTCGTTAAAACATAAAACAGGAAGGGCTCAACATCATAATATAAGGTTTTATGATCCAAAAATAGTTTTGCCAAGAGGCACAAAGTTTGGCAATATATTTTATTTGCATTTCCATCGACCTAAAAAAATATATATATGATATAATGTATAATACTTATAATGAATATAATATAGTGATTTGAAAAACAAATGGTGGATACATATTAATGTTAATACCTCAAAGACACTAATATTATCTTGTCTATAAATTTCTGTAGCTGGTGGATGCCTCCAGTTACAATTATGCATATGCCTCTCCAGAACAGATTTACTTTTAGTGTACTTCAGACAAAATTCACATAGAAACAATTTTGGAAGTCTAGCATACTCTTGAGGGAACGGAGATGAAAACCACGTTTCCACTTCATGTTTACCAAACTGTATTGCTGCTGGACATCTACTCAAATTACCCGACATCTCCGAAGCTTGAATTGTACTCTAATAAACAACATGCATACATAGAATAAGCTATTTATTTATTTAATATAGTAATATAAAATGTAAAAACAAGCTTTACGTTTATTGCTCGTTTTCTTGTTTCTTTGTAAATATCAACATCTTCATGTAAAACACCAGAAGGTAAATCTGATGCTACCAATCGACTCATATTTTCCAAAACTGCAATTTTAAATTATTTTAACTTAAGACAAAATATAATTTAAATATATTACATAGTTAAGGAAAATATTTTTCTTTACTTCACATAATGTGAAAAGGGCATGTCTGTAACAAAAAAAAATCCTTAAGATGCAAAAGTATTGTTAAATGTTTAAAGGACACCTCACAGCTGAAATAGTTATTTTTTAGTAATTTTTTTTTTTTGTGTGTGTGTGATCTAGTCTTATAATTTATGAAACCTAATAGCCTAATTTTTATTAATTGTTTAAAATTTGATTTTTTCTGTTTTTAATTACATTATTAAGAATAAATATCATAGCATTGGTTAAGTTTTCTTAAATAAGTTAATTAAATTATTGACCAATTTATTATTGGATAAATGAAGTAAATGGTGTAAAAAGTTTTGACACACAACATGTCAGAGTTATAATATATTTAAATATAAAATTAACTTCAAAATTGTGCAATTTGTATATAAATAATGTTTGTTAATAATATAAACAAAATTAATATGCTCAAGTGTAATTTACATAATTTAAAACCTAGTAGTTATATACTTAAAATTTAACTTTTATGTTTAGCATGACATGCTCTTTATAAAATGAAGTGAAGTTTTCATTACAGCACAACACTTGACTATTATTATTAACTTAGGAATAATATATGTACAAAAAACCTAAAGCATGCAATGGATTAAAATCGATACAAGCGCTTAAAAATAATGGTAGTAAAGTTTATGCAGCTGGCGATTACTAGCAGGATTGAAGGAACTTGCTTACCGGAACGGGTGACTGGACGTATCGTCGGCACGGACAGACGGTCACGGAAGGCGGAAGTAGGACTTATAAAGGATTTATCGTTTACAAGTAACTTGTATTCACCCCCCGATTCAGCTATTTCTCTTGTCTCCATCATTTTGGATGAAACTGCTGATTTTACCAAAGAACTAGGCGATTGCTGTTTTTCAGGACTCTTAAATTTTTTTTCCTTAGAAGGAGGAGTTTTCAAAACATTTTTATTAGTCGATTTAGGGTCTTTTTCCAAACGAGGTCTTGTACGAGACTGTAATGGTGTTGAATAAAAATGACTTAAACCATCAAACAAACCTTTTAGCTGAACAAATCCAGCAATAGGTTTGTCTTTTTTGCTACAACAGACCTCAGCAGCTTTTAATTCCTCCACAGGAGGAGCCTTAGCAGCTAAAGCAGCAAAACCCCAAGGTTCATTTGAAGTATCTGTAAGTAGCTTTTTAAATAAAGAAGGAGGTGCTTCAGAATTGTTTGATTTGGAATGTAACAGTGGAAATATTTTGGGTTGGGATGAACTAACCTTGGCAATTAATTTTGGCGCTCTTAAAAGAATTTTAGGTGTCGATTTTGGATGTTCAACATTTTTATTACTTTCTTTTTTGAGTTCATCAAGAGGCTTAGGCTTTTCAAATTTTTTAGTCTCACTTTGTTTAGTGGAATTAATAGAATCATCACCAGTCGAACTACTACATTTAAAGGATGAATTTGAAGGACTTTTTATGAAATTGGCATCCCTTGCAGCGAGACGTTTCGGGAGAGGAAATATGGGCCGACTTGGACGCACAGAAAGAGAACAAGCACGCGCACTGCTGCTACAACTGCTGCTAGAGCTGTTACTACTATCACTATTACTGCTATCGCTCGTGCTACTCGAACTACTACTGCTGCGGCTACTAGAACCTGAGCTCGAGCTACTTGAGCTGTTGCTACTGCTAGAGCTTAAGCGCTTGTTCGAAGGGGTATTGACTTTCGGCACACCGGATCCTCTCCCGTTCACGCCTCGCGCATTAAACGCAGCACTTTGCCTAAAGAATTTAGCTTTCTCCTTGGAGATAGCAGTGTCTCGCCGCATACTGCCACTACTCGGAACGGGAGAGGGGGGAGCCGAGGAGTCAGGAGAGGAGACATTACCGTCTTCCGTGACATCGCGTTGCTGCATTGAACTTGAAGCAGATGGTGCTCCTAAACGACGATCTTGCATTTTCAGGTAATGATTCTGTCCTCTACTTGACCTAAAAAGGAATAGAGATAGTTTGCATTTAAGCAAGAAAAAATAATAAAATTGAAATCTATCTAACATCATAATGTCGAACTCTTAAAGAACTATTTTATTTTTTGATGAAAATATAATTCCGTTTTTTAATTGATAATTAATAAATGTATGATTAATGATGATAGGTTGTTCCCCACAAAATTAATTAAAATATTTCAATAAGCATGAACACACTAATTGTATAATGTATATTATATAGATACAAGTTTCATATGTATATAAATATATATACATATATATATTTACAATATATATACATTTGTTTTTTAAAGAGTATTTTTGAAAATAATATAATTAATAGGGTTTTAGTAGACATTTATTACGTATAAATAATTTATAATGTATTTCTCTAATTATTAAAGATCTTACCTCTGAATTTTAAGACTAGATCTCTTCCTTCCTCGCCTTTCAGATAAAGGTTCTTTCTCGATTGTAATATTAGTAATTTCATGATGATCTAAACAAAACGAACATCGCCATGCTGATTTTGGTTTTTCATCAGCTGGGGGTTGTAAACATTGCATATGATATCCTCTATCACACGTATCACAATTTAATAAAAATATCTATGAAAATAAAATAAATGTTTAAAAATAAATATTAAGTCATTTTTTTTTTCAAAATGATTTACTTGTTCAGTTACTGAACACTTTGGTATGGCTGAGCATGCTCTACAGTCTTGGCAAAACCAACGTGAACCACGGGCAAGTAATGCAGTCAAAGGACCACTACCTTTGAGAGCCAAACATGAAGGATGTAATGAGACTCCACAACCTCCACGACATCGTTTTAGTTCTTCAGCTTCTCCACACTGATTTTTAGCTGAAGTTCCCAAGCAATCAGCACAAACATTTTGGGCAGAAACCTAAAATTTAAACAGCCATTTTTAAAATTATCTTAATTAACATAAAATAATAACATTAAAGTTCATACTTTATCAGATTCTCTATCACTGGTCTCATTATCTGTTAATGAACTTGTATCACAAACAGAAAGTCTTCTCCTTCTTCTGCCAGGTCTTCGAAGGGATAATGGTGACTCAATGCCACTAGTATCTACTTTTGATGGGCGCCCTTTTCTTAATGAACCACATTTTGATATAGGCGTTCCAATAGTTGAAGTTGTAGAATCTGGAGTAACAGGCAACCTGTATAGTTTTCCATCTAATACCAGTAAACCCTTATCAACTGCTTTATTTAGAGTTGATTTCAGTAATGATCCCAAATCACATTCTTGATTTTTTAATTCTATAGAGTAAGCATGATGTATGTAACGATCAATATTTTTATAAGATGACCCTTCCTCGTCTAAATGGCCAACACTTTTCACAACAATCTTGGTTAAATCTGTATCCGAGTTAATGACCAATTTACGATTAGCAGTTCCTCCAGGGTTCATATAAGTGTTTTGACCTTTGTTGAATACTTTCAAGACTGCTCCACTTTCGACACATCTCTCTACTTGAGTCTCAATATCAGCTACTGGGTATCGATGGTGTTGACGTATTGCATTGACAATACGTTCTAAGGACGGCCGTTGCTTCTGTCCGCGAATCTTATTAACCGCATCCAAAACCCATGTCTGCCACTGAGAAAAACTTACACCGGCATTCTCTTTTTCTCTAACTGATTCTCTCATGTTCACTAAAAATAAAAGATAAAATATATATCAGCGAAATAATAAAATAAACACTTCTAATATAAATTACATATTTGTGTTCAAGACATAATTTATATAGCTTAACTGTAACTTTTCATAATAATATACTACATATGATATTATACAAAAATATATAGATATGTATGTGTGTAATAGCTAATAACTATACATAGTACCATACTTAAAACTTAGATATTGGTAAAAAAAAATGTTCACCATTTTGGTGATCTTGCTGTTTTTCTATAAAGAATATTATGTATTCCTTATATATTACCTATAATACCTTTCATTATAAATATTATAGATAGCCTACCGAGACAAATTTCAGTTCTGGACGTCGACATGGAACGGGCGCTAGTAGTATCGTTTTCAATGAAATTCATACTGCTAGTGCTAATCCCGTGTCGACGTCCAGATCTTAAATTTATCTCGGTGGGCTATCTATAATATTTATAATCAATGGTATTACTCTAAAACATATAATTTTTTTTTATACAAGATGTTTTATTTTGTAAAATGAAGAAAAAAATCTTTATAGGTATATTATATAATCCTAGTTGTTAACTAATTAATTTTGTTTAATTTAATGGCTTAAATTAAATGGTCATTATTTCATGTTCAAGACATAACCTTTGATATATACAAATCATGCAGAGATAGATTTTAAGGCTCCGGCACACAGAACGCAGTCTGTCGTGGCGGGCAGCGATATTTGACTGCTGCAGGAAAGCAATAGTTTGTAATAAATAGTATTGCAGCAGTTCTGTCAAACAGATTACAGTCTACCGCGGCGGGCTAATTCAGATCGCGACAACAAGCGATACAGTTGTACAAATTTACAAATTTATGCGCGGGCATCTCACACTGAACTCAATACATGGAACGCGTATTGCCTATAGTCGGCTGCTTATGAAAATGTCTCCTGGTAGGAAGCTACCATTTTGTATACTTTAATTGTTTTATCCATGATACTTATTGTTTATTCTACGATTTATCATATATATGATGGTGTTATCATCCGGTGACATCCGAAAATATTGAAAAAAAAACGATCATCGTGTGAATCAAGTTCAATACAAAGGCGATAGTATTCTCCAAATTGTTCTCTTTTCGTTCGATTTCATGCACCCAACATCGTTTTTTCCTTTTATTTTAAAGTGCGAGTAGGAGAAGAAGTTGCTTTTCGTCAGAACTTGCCATATTAAATAAATAATATAAATATATTAGTCAATTAAAAAAATATTATTAAAATCTAACTCTGAAGAAATATTAGGTAAATTTTATACCTAGTTAAAGGTATGTAATATATTTATCAATATCTTCAAGCCAACTGATCTGTGCAACCACGGACATGTACTTTGGTACATAAAATCATGTACATAAAAAGCCACCGATAACACAACTTTTTCAAATTTGACTTATTAATTATTTACTGGTTCTTAGTAACTTATCAGTATTTTATTAGGGAGAACAAATTTACTTTACCGGACACCCTTTTTTTTTGCCATATCAGTGTTTTTTTTACACTATTATGAATCTGAAGTCAAAAATCAACACTCTCCTCTGGTTCCAAAGTTATAACTACTTGAAATTTGCATATTTTTGTGAGTATAACTCCGCATCAGGACTCTTTGTTAGTTGAAGGCTCACACTCTTAAGCCCCCAGAGGAAAAATAGCTTCCCTAAAGCACTAAACTAACCTAACCTAACCTATCACTCTAGAAGCATCAGTGTCCTAACGAATCCGAACCTAACCTATCCTCGCGTTGCCGAAAAATGTATAATGCAGCAGTGGTTAGCAGAAACCTCAGTCACCTATTACTATTCACAGAAATATGCAAATTTCAATTAGATTAACTTTTTAACTAGAGAAATCCGCCTAATTCTGACTTCAAATTTTTAATCAGCATAAAAAAACACTATAATATAGCATATAAAATCCCAAGGTATAAGTCTACTTTACCGGACACTCTTTTTTTTTTTAATTCGATAGTATTTTTCACGCTGATTACGAATATGTAAAAATTTTGCGCCGCTCGCACTTAGTTTGGAAGTTACAGAAGTTTAAAGTTTGCCAATATCGATTTACGCGCGCGCCCAACGCCGCACGTCTACCCGCGGCCGCCGGGTACTTTATAACAAAGATCGCGTGTTATACTGTGTTAACAAGTTACAGGAGTTTAAAGATCGCCGATCACTGGGCTAGGTTTTGTCTCGTTAGGTTGCTGACCGATTCCAGGGCAGTTTCAGGTTAGTTTTTTTATTCCCTTTAGGTTAGCTATTTTTCCCTCTAGGGGTTTGGGGGCGTGAGCCCCCATCCTAACGAAGAGTCCCGAAGGGACTCGAGTTGACTCCCGTAGCCAACAGCCGTAGGGAGTTGCTTTATTTAGTTATGAGTTTTTTTTAAACTAAATTGACCTGTGTAACCTGTATATAGCTGTAATTTCAAAACTAATGTTTACTTATACTAAATACAAAAAAAAAAAATTACGACGGCGGGAGGTAAGTAGACGAGGGGGCCGCTCATAATTAGTATAACGAACGCCCGCTATGTCGAGAGCGGCGATCGTCGAATGATGTATCCGGCGGCTGCGGGTAGACATGCGGCGTTGGGCGCGCGCGTAAGTCGATATTGGCAAACTTTAAACTTCTGTAACTTCCAAACTAAGTGCGAGCGGCGCAAAATTTTTACATTTTCGTAATCAGCGTGAAAAATACTATTGAATAAACAAAAAATCGGAAAAAAAAGGGTGTTCGGTAAAGTAGATTAGTTCCAATCTCAAAAAGGGTAAACACTCTTTTCCGTGTATACTTCCAAGAGGTACAAATACGTACGTGGTAACTTTTGATAGGTGTAAACCGGACTTTGAATTATATATCTTTATTGAAAATCAATACATGCATAAAATTACAACATTTACGATGATGTCAATAAGTGGTTTTTATATTTTTCATAATAACCCTCTTTGGCGTCCAATCAGTTAAAAACAATAATTTTCTAACTAGACACAAGGATATATTGTCTTGACTATTTTATTTTCTGTATTTATACCTATGAATTAACTTCTTAAAATAAATATTAGATACTAAATTTTGTACTAAGCAATTAAATAAAAAATATCACAATCCAAAAATGTATTATCAGCACTGATAATGGAGAAAATGTAAACAAAAATTAAATACATTTTACAATTATTATAATTAATACCCACTCATTAATTGCAATAATATTTTTAGGTACATGTCAGAATACCTAGGTACTATAAAATAATACATTTATCATTCAAGGAAATGTTAGCTTAAGCTTTGATTGATTATAAAACAGTATTTTATAATATGCAATAGATTTTTTCTCGATAGATTACTTTGTTTTGAAACTGCTGTGAACCTCAAAATAAGTTTATCGATGATCCTGAATGTAGTCATCAAATTCAAAATGTTATGTACCGAGTAGTGTGATAAGCAATAACAACCAAAATTGAAAATTAAAATGCAAAATTGTGTAAAATCTGACAGCAGCCATCTTGCAGTGTTCCGGCGGGGCGGTAAAAACACCCCTCTCCTACCAACCGGCGACCAAATGCCTGACCCATATTTATATACATTATTATATAAACAACAATTTACTACATAGTGTAGTAGCGTAAGCAACACGACTTAGAACCAAGTAAGATAAACGGCAATGAAATATATAACTCACCAACAATACTATCAATGTGTATTACGCAGTAATTTATCCATGGAAATGACAGCCATTCACATTACAACCAAATAGTGGCGAAAGGCTATCGGGTCCCGTATACGCGTTTGAAAACCAAACGATATATCCCAAACAGAATAAAGATGTTCAAGTGCGCGCTAAGGTTCACTGGTGGACCTCGCCACATACGGTCTGGTCGACAGCGGCGGTTATATTGGCGATGGCGGTAACCGTAAACATCGCCGCTATCCGTCGTTCGCTACACGGATAACCGTTCGTCATCGAAACTGTACGCCGTCGTTTTGTCAACAAACCCAAAATTATAATCTAAGACCGTGCAAACAGCTTAATATGGGGCACACAGACTATCACAAGAGACCGACTTTCGCTGACCGAACGAACGATTTAATTTTCTACTCATGACTAATAGTACATGTACATCGCTTCTTTATTGTGTTATTTTTTTTCCACACATAGGTATACACATTACGCGGCTACTCGATTGATGGGGAGCGAACAAAAACGGATTGCAGTGGCGCGCAGTCGCACAACAATCGTTTCGGGGAAGAAACACACTGTTAAAGATGGCCGCCTACAACCGCGGTTGACGAACAGACGGGCGCAGCGTTCAGTTTGACCAACGCAACTGCCGTATGGTTTCCCGCGTAAATATCGGCGTCATAACACATTTCACTATTACCTCCAGTTCCCTGTCCCTGTTTTTTTTTTCGGTAATTCCTAATATTCTGCTGACGACTAGCAAACTATTGCATGTCATTACTTATGAACTATAATCTTTAACTCAAGAAGGCACTTTAGGGTTCATAAAGTATAAACCATACATAAAGAAGATTGGAGCTACTCAGACTTTCCTCTTTTGACAAACCAAAGTTATTTAGACTTATGTCCTATCTTTTGATTCAGTTTGCGCATCATTCTTAAATTATATTGTATTTGAGAACTCAATAAGAAGGATATGTAGGTCACGTCATGACAAAATAGATTTTATCAATTTTGTCATTGGTCATGCATCACAAATTTGTGATCCCAGTCCACAGATCATATTACCTAAAATATTATAGTATTATTTTTTCGCGATGAATTACAGGCTTCTACACTAAAGCACGGAAGCTGTATGGTCCAATGACCATGGATAATAATATCAGGCGGACAGCTCACAGCGGTGATACCACAGATTAAAAAAAATTTAATTCAAAATATCTGTGCCCATGTGGTGATAACTGATGTCTGATATCATAAGAGTATACCTACCCACCCATTTATCTTGGAGATAATAAGTGATAAAATATTCTCAACTCGAGAGCTGTCCTCGTCCAGTTCGTGATAATACTATTGATGTTCTTTAATGTTGATATAGTAATCTACCTATGTTAATGTTTGACCAATAACTATTAACTATACCCTATTCTCTGTAGTATATAAATATATAATATGTATAATTCAATGATATGTCTATTATGTGCTTGACTAAATGTTATTCGTTTTGTCACTTTATAACCAATTGCATAAACATGGTGTATTTAATTTTTGTAATTGGTTAGATATGTAAGATCATTACTTTGAAACGAAAACCACTAAAAGTTTAACATGGCAACTGGTTAGTAAAAAATTACTATTCACAATACTTAATAGGTGTCCTGTGTTAAATTAGACGGGTGTTCTACACGTAAAACTTTCATTCAATAAAGAAATAATCTGCCTTGCTCACTATTATTTATTCTATTAAAAACAAAAGTAACTTGATTTTTTTAATATTAGGAACAACTAGAAATAAAGTCGCGTTAGCTCCTGGTCATTCATTAATGGACTGGATTCGATTGGGTAATTCCGGAAGTGATTTAACTGGACTGGGTGGCAAACTCATTTCGGTTTCAAGATCAGAATTAGCCAGACATAATAAACGAAGTGATGCTTGGTTAGCTATACGAGGCACTGTGTATAATGTAACCCGATATATGGATTTTCACCCGGGAGGTGTTGATGAATTAGTACGTGGTATTGGTACAGATGCTACGAAATTATTTTCTGAGGTAAGATCAACAATATCAGACAAGCAATTAAAACCAAAGTAGTTGTGTTCACTATTGACAAATTGTTTACGGAAGATTGTAACACTAGATACATGCCTGGGTAAACTATGAGTCAATACTTCAAAAGTGTGTGGTTGGTCACCTAGTAAACGATGAAATATATAAACTACCTCAGGTATTAAAAACACCGATAGAAGATGATTTAAAGATGGATTGGTTTCAACAACTTGGATTTTTATGTTTTGTATTTTACACAAAGTCTTCTTATCCCGAGGTATTTTTTACAATGGTTATTTTTCGTAATATTGTTTAATAAATATATTATAACCTAACTTTTATAACTTTTGATTTTATGTTGTGTTCAAATATTTTAGGTATCAGTTAGTTTAAAAAGTGCTAATGAATTTTATTATAATATTAATGGGAAAACCAGATATGTTAAACTTCATAATAACGTTAACTGGCCATGTAATGTTAAAGTTGTAGCTGAAACTGGAAAAATTCAAGTGAAATTGTTTAAAAAAGTATTAGCACTTTGGCCAACCTATGGCAACATATCTCAGGCTAAATTTGTTCAAATTGACTTTTGGAAATGTATATTTAGAGAATCCTACAAAGTTACCCATAATGTTCAATTTTTGTTATTTAAGTATGAACAACAAGTGTATAATCATGTTTATCCTGGTCAACATGTCTATGTTAAATCCAAATTAAATGGTAGGTTTTGTAGTTTTTTTTTGGTTGATTTGTATATGTTTTCTAATTTCCTAACAGCACTTGAAATTGTTTTAGGTTGTGATATTTCAAGACCTTATACGCCTGTTTGGCCGCTAGTGGATACCACAGAGTATGGACGAATAGCCGAGGATAATTTGTGTTTATTAGTAAAAACATATCCTAATGGTACTTTAAGTTCACATTTATGTTCTTTGTGTCCAGGTGACTTTATTGAAGTTAGTAAACCACAGGGTAGTTTTGAATGTTGGACGTTGAAAACAAATCTAATTTTACTGGCTGCTGGTACAGGCATAACACCCATGGTTCCAATTATTTGGAACGCTTTACATTCACCGATTAAAAAGTAATACAATATAATTTTTTCAACGTACTTGATAATAATAAACTATTTAATAATAGGTACCATGTCACCTTGTTATACTGGAACAAAACCGAAAAATGTATAATTTGGAAAGAGCAGTTGAACGAATTATGTGCCAAATATACATCTAGGTAATATTTTTTATAATTCCAATGCTCCTTTTTTTCGTGTGAATTAATAATTTTTTAATTTGAAAATAGATTTATTGTTAAACACATTTTATCGGGTGATGATAACCAGGAAAATACACAAAATGGACATGTTGATGATGTATTAATTAAAAAATATGTTCCAGCACAATCCAATAATGATCAAATGACTAGTGCTATTTGTATATGTGGTCCATTGGGATTCAATCAGTTATGTGAAAAGTAAGACGCGTAGAAGGTATATATTTAGAATTAATACATTTTTCACTAACATATTTTTCATAATTTCTTACAGGTTTATAATCAAACAAGGATATTCTGCCAATGATTATTTTATTTTTGGGTAAAATATAATAATAAAAACAAATGTGTACTTTTCTATAAACAAATAAATTATACATAGTATACAAATATATCACAAAGTATTATTTAATTATATCTCATATTGGTTGGAAGTATTATTATTTATCAGCCACTAATGTACCACTCGAGAAAGTAGAGTCCGAGTTCAAAAATATAAGTGTTTTTTAACAAAAATTGTGTCTGAATAAAAATAATAGCAAATAATATGGACATTAATTAGTAACAAATAGTATGTACTTTTTTTTTTTAATATCACTGTGGTCTTCAAGTTAAACTATTAGAACGAGAAAGTTGACAGCTTCAATACCCAAGACTGTTAAAAACAATAATATCTAATTTAAATAAAAACATTGAAAACTATAAAAAAAAAATATAACAATAAAAATAAATAACTAATTATTAGCATACATTGTGTGTGTGTGTGTTTATATATATTGAACTTTAATCTGTAAGTTTTTTGAAATTATCAATCTTTTTTCAACAATTAAAATAATTGAACATCATAAAACAATAAATAAAATTTAAAAACCGTATGGGCAAACATGAAGTAATGAAAAGGTTCTAATTTTGTTAACAAACAATTTAAAAAAATTAGGTATAACAGTTATAATAATTTAAAATAAAAATTGTATGGTAATTAGATTTAACATTGAATGAGTACCAAACGAAGTTGTAAATAAAATGAGAGTTTACATGTTAATAAAAAATAAGGTGTTTATTTCATATGATAATACAAAGATGGATACAGTATATATTATATATATATGGTATGCACACTAAATTATTGAAAACATAACAAAAAATATATTTTATTTTGTAAAATAGATATTGAGCAAACATGTTATATATATTTATATAAAAAAAAAAAAGGAATACCCAAAACCCACCATCTCCACAGAACAGTTTAATAAACTAATAACTTAGAAAAGCGCATACAATAACTATTTTCACCAAATCAATTAAATAATATATAAATGGTAATCTCTAATAAATATATATGAAAAGATACTAAAGTTTTTCTGGTTATATAATAACTGATAATTAATAAGATTTGATTAATATCAAGTTAAAATAGAACCTGATAACTATTATAATATATTATGTGTTCATGAAAATTTAAACCCGTTAGCTTTATTCACATAAATAAGTAAATTTTGTATTAGTAAACAAGATATAAAATGTATTAGACTTCAAAACAATAATAAATAAATAACAAAATCCAACTTGGTACAACAAAAATTAAAACCAATACAACTTAAAATTATTTGAGTAAAATAATATATAATATAGATTATCCTGCACACTACTATTTGTTTAAGATAAGACCTTTTAACTTATACAAACAATACAATCAAATACAAACCACCGTTAGTTATGCCTAGTTTTCTTCCTTGTAAGAAATACATATTTATGTTTTTACTCTCAACAATAAAAATATGTACATCATAACATCTAAAATCTGTACTACATAATTTTTTAATAGAAATAAAATATGCATACCAAAACACGGGTATTTGAATAAAGACAAAAAAAACACCCTGTACATAATAATAATAAGATAATTTTAATTGAAGGTAAACAAATTAATTTAATTTTTAAATGGTAAACATTCATTTCACCAATGAGTATGATTCATGCTTGATTGTTCAACACAATACCCGTTTTGTAAACAATACATATCTTATTTCACCATTAAAACAGCCTTACAAAATGACTATTCATTCGTCCATCAATGGCGCATACATTTATAGATAAGTAAATAAATTATTAACATTGTAAAACAGTCTGTGTGTGTGTGTGTATGTGTGTGTGTGGTAATAAAAAAACCATGTAGTATTTCCCAAGATATCATAAAATACTCTTTCTAATAATCATAAATTTGTAATATGTGATACAACACATAAATAACAGTGCTATTAAGCATATTTTAATAATACAATTTAACTTAAAAAAAAACACCAAATAAACTATAAAAGAAAAACAGTCGTATTATCACATCCAAACAAAATTATCAGTTACTGTATTCCCATGTGTTTCCATGTGCTGGTTAAGTAAATTACTATCAAAAAATGCTTGTCCACAAGTTACACACTCGTAGGGAGCATGCACTGTCCGCTCTTCACCGTGTAAATTCTTTTCATGCCTTTCAAGATGAGCCTGCCTAGAAAAAGTCTTACCACATGTGCCACATTCAAATTTGGTTTCCTCGATGGAATTAGCATTTTCGTCACCAGACTTGTTGATCCTTCTTCTTGCCAATACAGGTTCCACTTTATGAATACGCTTCAAATGCCGTAACAGATGGCTTCGGCGTGAAAAGGTTTTCTTACAAATAGTGCATAGTGTACTAGGTTTGGACCTTATTTGGTCCGAATGCTGTTCACTGAGTTCAAGAACACTTACTGGAGGTAGAAAATCAGATTCATCTTCAGAATCCGAGGGATTTTCCATTTTAATATTGGCTTCTTCAACATTAATTTCTGAAAGAGTCACTTCGGGAAGTATGGATGTTGACGATGAAGGGGTAATGCCATTATGAATATCCAAATGTTTACGCAAATGTTCATGGCGAGTAAAACACTTACCGCAAAGCAAGCAAGCAAATGGTTTTTCTTCTAATGGGTTATCTAATGATAGTGCATGTTCGTGGGCTCGTTTTCTATGTCTGAACAAATGTTCTTTGCGTACAAAACTTTGTTTACAAATATCACAACAAAATGGTCTAGGCATATCAGTAGAACTATGACAACTAGGTATACACATGAGATGTCTAGCTAAATGTTCTTTACGTATAAAACGCTTACCACATTTTTCACAAGGGAATGGCCGCACCGTGCTGTGAGACAGCATATGTCTCATAAGATGTTCTTTGCGATTAAAACCACTGGTACAAATACGACACACAAATGGTTTTACATCTTCGTGAGTCATTTGATGTCTTTTCCATGAACTGCGACGAGGGAAAGATTTACCACACGTTGGACATATAAATAAACGTTGTTGGGATTCTATTTCCGGTGGAGGTTGAGGCTCTTCCTCGTCACGACCAATGCCTTGATCAAATTCATAACATTCCCCACACAGTGAACATGGAAATGCACCTTTATTAATAATGTAACGTCTATGTGTCACAATAGTTGGACATGGCTCTCCTGAAATAAGGTTTTCTTATTAAAAAATATTAATTAGTTTTAATGTTAGGAAGGTGTCAGTGCAGCCCATTTTAAGGAGTAAAGTATACGCAATTTTTTACAAAATCTTAACTTAAAGCTTAAACTGTGATGTGTAATTATTAGTTCAGTAGTTAGGACTTTTTTTGGTAGTTAAATTATTTTTCGGACTATCACAGCATCCGCGACAGCGATTAAAACAATTTTTTCCATAAAAACTTAGTTTTTTAGATCCAAACATACGGCTTACTAAGTGATTATAGAGCAAAAAACCTTATAATCAAAATTAAAGAAAACAGCACTATTAAGGGCACCTTGTCCCTCGAAGCCCTTTTTTTGTTATTTCAAATAGGACATTCATTAATTTATTTTTTAAATAATACAATTTTGGTCAATTTAAACCCTGCAACTTCCAAAAAAATGAGTTTTTCGAAAAAAAAATGGCTTTGAGATGCCCTTCAAAATATTGTGTTCTTTAAATAATCTAATAGGTATATAATATATTACCAGACATTAATTTGTCAATGCTTTTTTCGAAGACGTCCCACATAGGTGGCAATGCCTCTCTTCTAATGCGTAAATTATCAACAATATCTTTATCTGCACTATTAATTTCATTTGGCAACTTTTTACAGTTATTGTACTCAACAAGATAATCACCCAAGACACCAGTAGGTCCATTTTTCCTATAATTTCGGTAAAAAAAAAACAAAAAATGTTATATACATCATGCCATTATACATATGACACAAAACATATTTATAGTAAAAAATTATATCATCTTACAGTGGATCAAGACTAAACGTTTCTTCTTTCATTAATACATAGTCTTCGGGTGATGGTTCACCAAGATATACTTTTTTTGTACTCTCCATGTTTTCTAATATATTTTTATCTTTAGCTAAACAATAATAATTTATACAAAATTATAATTTTTTTTTTTTAATTTTAAAAGTATTTACGATTTGACCAAACTTACATATATACAATTTGCTATGTTCTTCATCTTCATCGGTCATGTCAATAACTAAATTATTTGTAGATTCATCGCCGTCGTAATTCTAAAATATAATATAAACAATAATAATTAGGTGTTTTATTAGTATTTAACAGTTTTAAAACCAAATATAAATAAAGCATTAACTCTTTTTAAATTTATATATTATAAAATATATAATTTATATTGTTTTTTTTTTGTTTTCAACAGAGCTAACTAATTAATTAAGATAGATGAATTATGAATTTAAATTACTTTTTCGTCTCCACTAGCTAAATCCATATTGTTCTTCAAACACATCTCATAAAACTGATCCCATTCATTTAACATGGTAACACATTTTGAACAAACAAATTTAGACATATCATCATGCTCCATCACCTAAGAAAAAATTAACAACATTAATATTAAAAACCTACAAAATGTACTGCTAACATAGTTGTTTCAACCAGATGTGAATTTAAAGAATTTTTAGCATACGGCATTAAACATTTTCTCATTTTATCATAGTATAAATTTTCAAACACAGATAAAAATCTGAATGGCAAACAATCTATGAACTTAATAAAAAATTTAAAAATTAAGCAGGCTATATCAAGACAGAACCATAAGTTTTTAGCGTGAAAATGTTGTGTTTAAATTGAGATAATTAAGGGGATTGCATGCGGTTGGTTTTTAAGGAGTTTTGTATAGGCAATATTTAAGAAAAAAGTGGTTTTAATAAATTTCGATCATGTCAAATAATTTACTGGTTAATTTGTATGAGATTCATGGTTTTATTTTTAATTTAAATTATTTTGTCTATGAGTAAAACCATTTTAGTTTAAATAACATACATTTTTTGTTCCATCGCACAGGCTGAACCAGTGATCCGATTAGTAATGTGAAAAAAGATTTGAATTCTTTGTGAAGTCTACTTATGATCGGTCAGGATATTTTTTTGATATCTAATTCCTAGTATGTATCAAACATGTTTGAACATTATATAAAATGTCAAATTTTAAAATCAAATTTGGAAAGGGTTAAAAAAAAAATTTTAAAAAGTACCCTGACCGATCAAAAGTAAACTTCATGTCGAATTCAAATCTGTTTTTAGATTGCTTATCGGATCACTGTTTCGGTCTGTGCAATGGAATAAAAATGATGTATTATGACTGAAAAAACCGACCGCATGCAATCACCCTTAAAATAACTAAACACGATTTTTCTTATTTTGTATCTTACAAATTTTTGATGAGGTAATACTAACAGTGGGTGTATTTATTTCTTGATATTACATATCAGTTATCATTAAAAACAAATATTTAAAAATCAAATAGTCATTAGACCATGGTTAGATAAAATTTGCTTATTTAAAATAGCAATTTAATGCAAATTGGCAATCAATAATTTGTTGTGTGTGTAAACAAATGATTTATACACAAAATCAAACGAGATAAATACATAAAAAATAAATCTATAAATTTAAAGCATGCCCATCAGCCAGCACGTTACATTAAAATTCCTACAAAACCGAACGTCCTTGAATCAGCTAAGGATTTTTAGATGTTAAGTATGGGAATACTAACTAAGATTATTTTCATAAATAATATAAATGTCAGTTTTCATTGGGATTAAGGTAATTTCAAAATAAAATTTTAAATACTATCGTACCACTATTTCAGTTTTTAAATAGGGGAACCTATATTGAAGTAGGCATTTTTTTTCAATTGAAACGTCATATTCTTAAGCTGAGCCGATAGTCAATTTGAACATTTTTAAATGATAAGGTATAATGATTGCCACTTGTAAAACTTCTTGTGTCAAAAATATACTAACTTATACATTTTTTTTAAGCTATAAAAAATAGACTAAAAAAATAATTGATACAATTTTTTAATTTTACTTTTTTGGGGTTATTTTGGTTTATTTAGCATAATGAATTATCACAATTGAATTCACAGGGAATTTTTGTTTAAAGACTAGTATTTTTTTCAAATGCTACACCGTCACATCTTGTATATGTATTTTGCATTTATTAAATTTTTGCTTTAAAGCACAGAATTATTACCAAGCGTATCTAAGATTCATGTACTATGGTCAATGGCGTTTGCACCATAACATGCCGTCACAATGTTTATTGTTAGTTAAGAAATGATTATGTACTGTGAATACCAAATTAACTGAATTAGGTAATTATATCATCATTCATAACTGTTTAGAGGACATTGAACATCCAATTTACTAGCGCTAAAACATGCTAATGCAGAATGTGTTTTACTTGCTCTGTGATGATTTTAGAGCAAAAATTCTTACAATGAAAACAAAAGATGACAAGATGGAGGCAATGTCACATCTTTTCTTTGATAAACCGCACATTTAGCTTAAAATTAAACATTTTAAATCACATAATTTTACTTTAATTATATAAGTATAACTTTTTTATGTTTATTATTGTCTCTGAAAAGTTTGTAATCTTTCGATTTTATAATATCTACTAAGTGTTTTTGCTCTAAAACCAATATGCACTGACGCTAAAACGCATTCTGCATAACTGTTAAGATGAAAAAAATTGTTTCAATCACTGTCAAAATGATGTGAACCACCGTTTATGGGGTTATAGGAAATTTAAGTATATTAAGTAAGATTATGTAAATTTATTTTTGAACTCTTAAATCTCTGAACTCTGATTAAAAATTAAAAACGTTTTAAATATTGTGATAATACTGTTTTTAGATACTGCCGAAAGAAAGTGGTACATGATTTTGAACTTAATTGTGGCATAAAAAATACACAATTTCGTTATATTGATTTAATAAAAGACTGCAATGGTAGTACTGAAGACTAGAGAGTAGAGACGCGATAGGTCGACGAGTTTCAAAAAAATAATAAATTCTCAAGACAAAAGCGCATCTACCTATCACGAAATGGGCAGCAGCTGTTTCGCTTTCGCCTGTTCGTAACAAATATTACTATTAACAACGCGGCGGTCGCCGCAGTCGTTATCAGGTGACGCAATCGGCATAGATAAAAAACGATAGGAAAATTCGAGGAGAGGAGTGACGATAATTTGTTATTGTTGTGTTGCAACTTGCACTCGAAGTACGCGAAAAGGCGAACCAGAATAAAACAGTATTATTGTTTCCTCGTGCACAAGACATCATCTCACCTCGATTCGCAGGTGTTTGACGATGGTGTCGCGTATGCTGGGGCGTGTCCTGTAGACCTGTCGCTCATCGTTCTTGCAGTCATCTTCGTCGTCCGCACCGGCGGCCAAGATCTTGTGGCGTTCGAAGTCGGCCGGTATTCCGCAGCATAGCCTACAAGTGGCGATCTTTGTCTCGCTCTCGCCGTTGTCGCCGGCCATAACTTGGAAAAAACCCGAATTCGCGATCGACGTTTACGCGCCGAGAAACGTAACGTCAAACGGACCAAAAACGACGTTTATGTAATTATAGAGCGGTGTGCGCCGGACTCGACGATGGGCCACGTAAACGTCGACGACGGTGTCACGGGTGCGAGAGAATCTTATTATGGCGGCAGCGGCGACGGCTAAACGATAATGGATGAAAAAAAAGGGGAAAACTGTATAGAAAAATATTTGAAGAGGAAACGTGATGCGCTCCGGCAGCCCGCGGGCGTCGACCGAGGAGCGCGGCGTATTAAAAATTGGTGGGGAGGGTTCGACAGTCGACTCGGCGACGCGGGCACCTGAAACGGTTCGCTGCCGCCGCCGACACCGGCCCCTACCCAAAAATTTCCCGAGAGAATAATTGATATCGGGCGCCCGGCCGCCGCCCCCCCTTAAAAGCGTGTGGTGGGCCGGATACGGGAAGGTCGGCGGGGACATGGCGCTTAGAGTGGGGAGGTGGCGGTCGCGGTGACGAAAAAAACCTTATGGTGTATGGCAACGGCGTCCGCGAGCGCCGCCGCCGCTCGACGCGCATCACACGAAAATAAATTCCGACCCTGGGGCTTTTGCTCGCAAGGCTTCTATTTTCGTTAAAACACTACCTCCTCAACTTGCCGGTTTTTCCCGGGACAACTCTCGTCTGGGAAAAATGTGGGAAAAGTCAACCACCCCAAGCCCCCCCCCCTTTCTGTAGGCCGGTTCAATTTCAAGTACTTTAGGTTGCACAAGCGCCTTTAACCCTTGTTACAGCTCATAAATCACATCGCGACAAATGTTTGACGTGACCACTAGATGCGGCTGAATATTATAACGATGCCCAAACTCAGAACTGTAGTATTACTTCAGTGTACATGTTTCCTATTTGAAATCATTTGCTATTAAAACGATTAACGATTAAGTTCAAAGTTCAAACCGCCTCTAGTAGTGTTAACCGCGATAATTATATGTATACAAATAGGAATTTGAATTATGTATTACATTAATGTTAAAGTTCTGTTTTTAGTACTTATGAGCGCGCTGGAACGAGTCCTTTGAAACGGGCTTTGGATGACACCCTTTAAACCTTAGCCCATGTATGTGTCGGCTCGAATTTAATCATTATTTTTACTGTAAATGTAAATTATTTACTTTAAACTTTATTCGTAGGTATTATTGTAGTTTAATTGCTTATTTTTGTATTTTTATTTATATATTCTATGGTGCTGCAAAGCTATACGATAAATAAAAATGAATACATTTATATTTTTAATGGTTTCAATAAATATTAAAAATCGTATTTAAAAATATATATATTATGTAGGTACTTTATACGTATTCTGTTCGTTTACAAAATTACTCCATTTTACCTTAGGCATATAATGAAGCTGGATTTTCAGGTGGGGCCGATTTGGGGAGTCGATAAACGAGTAGACATATAGGCACATGGTGACACCTTGTGGTTTTTCAACCAAACATTATAGCTAGCGAACGTGTATATTATAGCTATCCAAACAGAATTATTATGCCATTATTATACGTATTAGTATTATACACTTATATTTTAACTAACTTCGCCGCGAAGCCCTCCCCCCCCCTTATCCCGATAGATGTTTGTGTGGTCGGTATGCGCAACGATAAGCTGCACAGGAGGCCTCGACCAAAATATATTACCTCGTACACGTGCTACCTAGTCAATCTAGTTTAACATGAAAATGGCCCGAACCCGAGTGGAATTGGTTGTGTAATTTTATGTATATGAATTAGAAATAGCAAAATCTGAATTTAGTTCTTGCCAGGATCATCGTTAGTATGACCGCCTAAATGTATCGAGTACTTAATACATATTGATTACTAATGCAATAATAGTAATAATTATAATTTGTGCTGCCCAACAACAATTATTATGTAATACATTGTAAAATACTTTATTTACTTAAATTGTTTATAAAAACATATGGTGAGTTTGATTTGAGAATAAATTAAATAACCATAAGGGTTGATTTGAGTGACATCTCTAGTCGCCCTAGTCTTAGAATAGATAAATGTTAACATAAAAATATTTATTAGTATATAATATAATGAAGTATGATTCACGAAAGGTTGACCTAGGAAATTATTTTATATTTAAATGAAGTCATTTATAATACAATAATGATAAAAAAAAATGTAAAAACGACCATTGATAATTATTAATTACGTTTAAAAAATAATTTTAAAGTAATTTACTCATCACAATTCATTAACAATCGCCAATTGCATTACTGATTGATTAATAGGCTGTACCGTATACCGTAGGAACAACATGTTTATTTTTATTTAGTGACAGTAAAAATTTTAAAATAGTCAAATTTTTACAATTCTCATATCATAATAAACTAGAGGAAATAGGTATAATTATTTTAATCACTCAGATAAGCGTCGAATATTATCGTCCATTATTCTTACTTGTAAATTGTAAACCAGTTTTTTAGTATCTATTTTAAGTAATATCGTATTTGCCATTTTACCAATCATTTGTTGGGGAGTGGGAAATAACATATTTTATTATTTTACCGACCACGTGTGGCTTACAGAAAGATAATACCCAATGCTCAAAGTATCAAAATAGGTTTGTTCTCTAATTAAAAAGTCCCTATACTACAACAGCCATGTTATCTATATTGTAACCAACTGTATTGTGACTTATCACGTTTGCCTAGCTAATAATTATATGTGAATCTCGAATCTACAATGTATTATGTAATGTGTTTTATAAACTGCTAAACTAAATTAATCAACCACGTTTATTACGCATATAAGTATCGTCATTCGTTATCAATATACATATTTTTTTAGGAGTGTAGCGAGACCTCGCGGAAAGTGAACTTTTTTTTTAGCCACGTTCTCCCCTAGTCTTACATTTAGAATACATATCAACCATATTATTATAATAATATATAATAATAGGTAATAGGCAACTATAATAATTTATTTACTTAATTGAATATAAATTGATGTAGGTATTTTTTTGACGTATTTTTCCGAAGTCTAGATCATGCTGTAAAGTTATATTATACACATACCCTTTACTTTTTAAAAGAAGTTGCTTACAATTTCTATACCTACATAGCTTTTATATTTTTTTTATATAATCACAGCTATACTAAATTTAAGTACCTAGTGATAACTTTACCACTATGAACTAATATAAGAAAAAAGTATATTTTAATGGCTAAAATCTGTTATACTATTTCAGATTTCTATCATCACTAAAAAGACGACCTATATTTTTAGTTCTAACTTACATTAACACCTAGGTATACCCATTTTCTAATGTTCAAAATAAACGGTTTTTGAAAACTATAATATATAATAAGGGGTAACGCCTTGCTTATTATTATGTAGAGAATTTGTTGATCAGCACAAGTCATAACCGCAAAAAACAATGGTTATTACATTTTATTGTAATAACGCGACAGTTGGATAAATCGAAGTGTGCGATTGTTTTTATTACATAAATAGCGAGGGGTAAAAGATGGGTATTTTTTAAAAGGTTTTGGAAATGTTGTAATTTTTACAAATTATATAAGTAGTAAGATTAATAATGTATACATTATACATATGTGTATACAGTCTAATTAAGACATTTTTAAACTTAATAAATCCCCCCACCTCTAATATATTATTATATTACTACTACTAGGAACCACTTGACTAAAAATACCGATTTTTTTGAAAGAGCAGCCGCTACAAAAACTATGTTTATTTCATATCATCGCAGCTGACCCATAAGGGTACTTACAACATTTCAAATGTCGACCTCACTTTTTTTTTAAAGAACAAAGCTACTAAAAAACGTATTAAATAACATCTTTGGTTTTGTATATTTATTTTCTACTTAGCCTAATATTTATAAAGCTGTTCTTTCCTATAACTCTAGAAATCGTCCGATATTACATCTCTTTATACATAGGTCATTGTATAGTTATATTTTATTTTACCCCCCTCCCCCCCCCCAAAAAAAAACAGGACATTACCTTTATGTAATAATATCAATTTTTATTGTATACAATTAGGAAAACTGCAAAATAATAATTTTCAATAATATTTTGTTGGAATACTTAAACCTGCATTAGTTATACAATATTATATACTTTACTACCTAATATTTTTTATTACTTTAAGTATTACGCCAATACAAATAGATAATGCATAAATTATATTATAATGTATACAAGTTACAACACTAACTTTAGTTAAATAATATGACATTAAAATAAATTTGTTAGG